GATTTTGCAGCCTTTGCAGTTTTTTAGGCAGGCGTTTGTTACAGTTTCCCCACACTACATTGCTATAATCAAAATGTGGTTGAATAAGGCTATTATAAACTTTAATAATTAAAAAATTAAATGGAGTGAGATGCCGAATTTGTTTAATCACACCAAGGGCACAAGCTGTCTTCTTAGAGATGTTTTCAATATGACACTCACAATTTGTATTTTGATCGACATAAACTCCAAGGGATTTAGCGGAGTTACTTGTTTGATTGTATTTTCGTTAATTGTAATAGGAGAGGGACTTTCCGTAAATTGTTGCAATAAACATGAACTCAGTTTTTGTTATATTCAGGGTAACTTGTAACTTCTTAGGGCTGAGAAATTTATTGTACAGAGTAGATCTCAATAATTAAAGGGAAAAAAGAATGTTGAAAATTAATAAGAATTGAGCTCTAATTCACCATAAACTGTTTAATTCTATACCTCTGGTTCTCCACTGATGTCCAAATGATGACACCCATTTTCTACTGCTGCTTTCACTACTGGTTCCCCATAAAACCGGTACTGTGAAACAAAACAGTAAAATAAAAAAATTCTTTTTTTAAGTAATTCAGCTCACTGGATTATACATTCTCTTCAAATTTGATTGGCTACTTATATGCCAATTTACCTAATTGGGCTAGACTGAGTCAGACATATTTTGAAGTTTCAACTAGATTTAAGATTATCTGAGAATCATGGACTGAACCACTAACAGTGTGAAAGAAAGACAAAATCCTCTTACCGGACCAACGCAGTTCAGAACAATCTTTGCTGAAGAACACATTGTACTGAGGGAAGCTTCATCACTACAGTTAGCAACCATAACACCAACATCCCCCACATACTGACCTACACATGAACACAAACATACAATGATGACAGAGGATGAACAATGATTCCTCCATATATATATATATATATATATATATATACATGGAGGAATATATATTATATATATATATATATATATATATATTTCCAATTTGACAGAGCGCTGAGAAATGAAAGATCAGAACTCCTCAAGAAAAATGTCAAGTCCAACAAAAAAGTATTTCCGTTAGTCCTGGACTACAATCCTATCCTCCCTGATATTCAGAGGGTTATCCAAAAGTATGCTCATCTCTTAAGATTGTCACCTGAGTTATTGGAAATTTTCCCATCAAAATCGATTTTTCCAGCATATCACCGTACCAAAAACCTCAAAGACATTTTGGCGCCTTCTAGATTTTGTATGAGTGGGAAAGTTAGTGAGGCAGAGAAGGAAAGGGGAGGTTGTTTTAAATGCTCCTCTAGATGCAGCCTTTGTAAGAATTTTTTAATTCAAGATTCCAAATTTAGGAGTTTTTCCACAGGCCGAACCTATAAGATTTGCCAAAACATGTCTTGCTCTTCCAGAAATGTTGTTTACTTGGCCTCGTGCAAGAAATGCAATTTACAATAATGTGGGTTCTACTTCCACTGAATTCAAAGTGCGTTTTCGCAGTCACAAGTCATCAGTATGCGAACAAACAAAAAAACGTGCAAGCTTGCAGTCCACTTCAATTCTACCAAACACGAAATTTCTGAAATTAATTTTATTGTTATTGAGAAAATTATCAGCCAAGGGGATGCAGCTTACATTGATGGATTATTACTTACGAGAGAGGCCTACTGGACCGCACAACTATGTACACTCAGTCCCCATGGACTTAACAAAAGAGGCGAATTCAGATCCAAAACTCGCGTCCACTATAATACTTAATTAGGGCATCATTTACACAATGTAATTGAGTTCTTATTGCACATTCCTGCCTTTTACTCATTATTATATCCTATTATTTAGGTTTGGAATGCATTCATTATGCAATACTATTTTTATTTCTTACGTTTAGTATAAATTCAGGTCATTCTGTAAACCTACTAGGATTTTTAGTTTTTAATTTCTATGTAAATACGTTCCACCTGAAGAAGGCCGAAGGCCGGAACGTCGCCACATTAAAGCTGGAACAGTTAGACGTTTGCTTCATGTTTCATCGTTTTACACTTGCCATACATATATATATGTAAACAATTCCATAGGAAAATAAAAATTTAAACTTCGCACTAAGACTTCGCACTACAGATCTGTTTCGAAAGGGTTAAAAGTCCTCTCTCATCAGGTGCATAAGATACTAGTTGACTAACAATCCT